TTGTAACAAGTGGCTTGCTGATAAGAAGAATGAATATATTGTAAAAGATACTTTTAATTTTTACAAGTAAATTAGAGCTATATCTGTTAATATTTAAATTGAAGGTTCTAATATACTAATAGTAGCCTTTCTGTATTGAAACAAAAAAGTTTAACAAACTAGATTAAACCAATATCACAAAGCCAACAAACAAAACTAGATAAAAAACTACTTAATGCTATTATCTATAGCAATCTTCTTTTTACTTTTATTAATAATATTTACTTTGCTGATTTTTTTTAAAAATTTAGCTTCAAACTATTATTTGCCTTCTACATATACATTAAGCATAACAGTTCTTAATACAACATTTTCTACTCACTTTGCTAAAAAATTAGACATAATAACAAATTTAAATAATATTACTATTGCACTAGATAGATAGCAAAACATATCTGGTAACTCAATTTATAAGTTTATAGCTATAAAGAAAAACCAAACATATGTACTTGATATTATAAATTTATTGGCAAATCACTATACTCACTATACTGCTGATTTTCTTAAACAACAGTTTGAAAAAATTTTTCAATCCAATTTAGTTTCTATTAAATCATCTGTTATTGTATATGTAACTGACAACCCTTCAGTAATGGTTAAAATGCAAGCCAATCTTAAAAAAAAAACTATCCCAATATCATTTCAATTCAATGTTATTTATACTTATTTAATTTACTAGCTAAAAATATTGCTAGTTTTCAAAATATATTATCTGTTATTAAAAATAATTAAAAATTTGTTAATTATTTTACATTATTATATATTTGGTTTCAGACTTTTAAAGATTGACAAAATAAAAAAAAAATTAGATATTTGCTTACTATATTTTGTGAAACTTGTTAGTATTCTCTCACCAAACTCTATCTAGAAGTATTAGCTTAGAAAAAAGCCTTTCAACATTGTATTGAACTTAGCAAAACTATAAATTATCCTTCTATTAAAACAGATCTTCAAGAAATTATTACTAGTTATTATTATTTTGCAAATAATAATATACTTGTAATAATACTTACTTTTGTAGTAAATACAATTGGTTATTTTGAGTTCAGATATACTACATTAGCAGATATTTTTAAAGAATTTACTAATATTTATTATATTATTGCTACAGCTAATATTGCTATTTATAGATTCAAATACTATGTCTTAGTAGCTATTGAAAAGAGAGCCTAAGAATTCTCTGATCATATCTATTTTGTCATGTTATTTTTATTTCTAGCATATAAAAAAATGATGATATCAAAAAAAATATATAAAGATTTTATTATTAAAGCAAGTTTAGAGCTTGCAATACTTGGGGTTTTAATAAACAAATGCTAACTGTGTTATATAAAAAATTAATTAATTATAAAAATAAAAACTATCTATTAACAAAAAAAAATTTTTTAATAATATTAATTATAAAAAATTTTGGATAGAATTTACTAGTTTACTCTTCTATTTCTGAACCTATTTCTAATTTTAACCTCAACCTTCCTTACTATGAATTAAACTATTTAATATATACAATCTCTTCTTACCCCTCCTTCTCTCCTTACCTCTTACTACTTTATCTATACTCTTTTTACTCAACTCTCAAAAACCTTATTCTTATTTTTCTTATTTAATACATACTACTATTTGATATTTTATACTCTATTGCCTCTCAAATTATTATCCAAGTTTTTATTAAGATCTTCAACCAACTTTATAATCAAAT